TGAGTTTGATACGTACATTTTTTGCCATTAAGTAATTTGAGAGATGAATATTGATAGATCTAAATGTGGTTTGTACATGGAGTATACTTATATGTTTGGTCTATCTAATTATTTTCCTTGTTTGATGAGCTCATGAAAGGTGCATTATGTGTTTACTTAGATAATTATGTGACTCTATAATGATGATATGTACATAACTTATAGACGAGTCTTTATGATGCCTAGAAGAAATTGGGTTAAAAAGGTATATGGGAATTTCCTTCTCTTATTTTGCCATGCATATTTTTGGTGATGAATGCATATTGATACTTAATCCATTTTTTGTTTTTCAAGGTTTGAATTCGAGGATGATTTTCTTTTGAAAGGGAACTACTATCATGCAGTTGGGACCCGGGAGGAAAGGTTGGTAGGTGAAGAGGTCCTCACTTCGAAAGGGCAGGCTAAAGTATTGAAATATGACTATTTAGGTCCTTTTATATTTCAGTTGAGTTAACCTATAGGATTTAGGCCAAACATGAACTACCGTACAAAAGTGGCAGAAAATGAATTCCCTTCTCCATATTTTAATGCTAGAAGGTTTGCACTTGTTGATCCCAAAGCTCAAAAAAGAGTGGTGCACTGCCTCAGGAGCTCCTCAATTTGACTATGGAAAAGAGCATGACATCTTACTAGCTAGACTTTTGCTTTGCTTAATCAAATATCATGGTATATTTATATCACTAATAAAGGTGTCTAAAGCACTGTGATACCTATTGAAGCTTATGATGGCTCTAACTTATTCAGTAAATGCCTACAATTACTATTTTGGGATAGCTTTATAGCTCTCACAGGCAAAAGATAAATTGATTCATGTACAAGGGTTTCTTCATGGTAGTTTAATGAGAATATTGGTTGATGAGGTAATCCTGGTTTTCTTGCTACACGGAATATTACAATGACCCTGAGCCTTATCAATAGAGGAGAAAAGGTTGGAAAAAGTATATTATTTTCAGCATAATTCATTGGAGGTCCTAGAAATATGCAACGAATTAATTATTTACAAAGACCTGTATTTTATTCTTTTCTGTATCATTATTAACTCTAATGTTTATTTTAACACTGTTGAGATTATTTTATAAAAGTGTGTATTTCATGATGCACGTGCAACGCACGTGCCGAGAAACTAGTTGTATCATAAATGTATCATACTTGTATAAAAATTATATCTAACTTGTATTTGATATATTATACTATTATCATACATTTGGAATACAAACTGCGACTCATTTCTAAAAAATTATGATACAATTGTGATCTTCATCTTCTTCAAGTTTCAATCACAAGTCTAAACTTAATATCTGATATAATATTATATTAGTATTATATCAGGTATTGTTTTACATATTGATGTATTAGATACAAGTAACATACAATTTTGATACACCTATGACACAATTCTAAAACAATTGTGATGCATTTATCATACAATTCCCCCAACTTCATTTTCTCTGAGCCTCTGAAATTTTACCTAAATCCATTTTTAACTTAACCAATTTTCCTCAAAATTAAGATATAAACTACAAGGTATATTTTCCATCACTTTCAAGAACACCCAATCCAACAATCACAAATTCGTAAATTCTGAAAATTGAATTCAAAGTTTTGAAGCTTTTTATTGATGTCAATGGAGAGCCCATTATCGCTGCAATTTTAGAGATAAATTTTTGCCATTTTCGTTTGCATTGTGAGAGAAGTGTCGATTTTGAGTGACAAATATGAGAGAGAGAGAGAGAGAGAGAGAGAGAGAGAGAGAGAGAGAGAGTAATATGAAATATTTTGAAAAAATAGATGAAATTCGAATTTTTAGGAGGTGGGCTGGTGAAAGAGAGAGGAATGGAATGTTAAATTTAAGGAATCTTTTACTTTTTATTTTTATTTTTATAGTTTTGTTCAAAAACGATAAATATAGATATAGAATGTAATATAGTATGAACCTAAATAAAAATGGTAAATAAATTTCTATTATAGTACAAATAAGTAAATTTTCCAACTAAAATAGGTATAATATATAGTAATTATTCAATGGGTAGGATTCTTAACAAGCAAAACAAGGATAATTATTTTGGCTTCTATAGGTATTTGTGTATTTTTCCCTAAACTATTATCATAAAGTGAACAAAATATCTAGCTCTAACCATAAAAAGAGCACGGGATAGTCAGTTTTCGGACTAGCCATTCAAAAATAGCCAGCGTTTGCAAAGTCATTGAAAAATAGTCACTATTTTGCTGCAACACAGAAAGTTCCAGCATAATATACTGGAGATCAGTGCACCTGTGTATGAACTTCCAGTATATTATGCTGGAACTCCAACACGCGGAAAGTTCCAATATATATACTGGAGATTGGAGCACCGGAGCACCGGTGCTCCAATCTCCAGTATATTATGCTGGACCGGTATATTATACTGGAACTCCAGTATATTATAATGGAGTTCCAATATATTATTCTAGAGTATTTTTTTGGATTTTGAACAGTGTTTTCGTTTAGATTTATCTTTCATAAAAAGTGGCTAAATTTCGATTACTCTTAAAACTGTGACTATTTTTAAATGATCACTTGTAAATCTGACTATTTTTGAATTTCTTCCCTAACCATACTGTTGGCATGTCGGGCCAGTGAAGACTCCTTTGGAAGTTGAGACTGGTCATGATGTTGGGCCAATTGAATACAATAGAATGACAAAATAGGTTATTTCGGTGCTAGTATTGACTTTTTTTAATTCCAGTATCAAAAGTTTTAAGGGAAAAATTGCATGCCAGAATTTTAAAGTCACTCGACATAATTTTTCCGATCGTTAAAATTTTGAAACATGTTGTGCATAATTATAAAGCTCGCCTAATTGTCAGATTTTTGCCACAAATTCTGTCGAATCACCAGAAAATTTTCAGCATTGAAGCTGAAAAATCTTGTGATCTGTCATAATTTTTGGTGTTTGAAAATTCTGGTTATCATCATAATTTTTAGTGCTTTAATATTTTGGCAAGTATATTTTAAAATTTTAATGCGGGATTATTCTCCCAAAAAACTTTAAGGAAATCAAAATATAAAAATAATTTAGAAAAAGTTCCATCCAGTGTAATTTTCGGTCCATCGTGATCGTAGAATTTGGGGTATTATCACTTTTAACTAGGGGTGTTCATAAAAATCCGAAAAATCGAACCAAACCGAAAACCAAACCAAACCGACACAAAAAACCGATACGTTTTGGTTTGGTTTGGTTTTGGTTTTAAAATTTAAAAACCGATCAAACTTAGTTTGGTTTTGGTTTTAATGAAAAAAAAACCGAACCAAACCGAATATATGAGTAGCTATTTTATATTTATTATTGCACCTATATATATGTATACTTTTATACAAAGTTTAAATTTTTTTATAGTAAATGTTAATCGTTTGCGATTTTAGTACAGTTTTTTACCTTTGCATTCTGTTTTATTGGTAGTTTTCTTTTGTTAAGTGTAAGAATCTATTTCATGTTAAAAATAATATATTTTTAATCGAGTCCTTAAATTATTCATCACTATTTGATTCAATTATCATTAATATATCTTGGTAAATAATAGATTTCTCAAAGGGCAATTAATTTAATAGTGTTACGTTGAAAATGTAGTCGCCGAAACATGTGTTTGGTAGTGTATGTCTTATATTTAAGAAAAAACCGACAAATAACCGAAAAAATTAAAAAACCGACATAAACCGAATCGAGAAAGAACCGACTTAATTGGTTTGGTTTGGTTCTAATATTTGAAAAACCGACTTACTTGGTTTGGTTTCATTTTAAGGAAAAACCGATCTAAACCGAACCATGAACACCCCTACTTTTAACCCGCGTCAGAAACTACTTACATCTGGTAGCCAAAAATATATATATATATATATATATATATATATATATATATATATATATATATATATATATATATATATATATATATATATTGACTATTATTTTTATACAAGTGTAATTCTTCCTAGAATGTTGCCCGAGTACAAAGCTCCACTCGTCAAATTTGATAATGGGCCAACGAGATTTATGTAGAAACTTCTCGGCATCTGCACATCAACCTTGGTTAAAAAATGGGAAATTACCAGCTATGTTCATTTATAGGTAGCTCATTATAAAAATTGGTCAATTGATAAAATATTACTAATATTAGCCAAATTAGCCAATTAGCTATTTGTAGCAAAAAAAAAATATCAAATTTTTGCTTTGTTTTGAGTGGGTGTTATTAGAATAGATTGGGCACAACTTAAGGAGCTTGAATCTCAGTTTTGGGATGATTTGGTGAAGTTTTGAGGTGGTTTGAATTGAAAATTTGGAGTAAAAGCTGAACATGAAAAAAAATGATATGTGTATCACACTGTGTATCATTTGTGTATCACATATGTATTATATTTGTATCAATTGTGTATCACATGTATATCCGTATACCTGTGTGTGAGATACATGCGTGATACATGTTTGATACATGTATCGCAGAAGACTTTTTTGAACTCGATTTAATTATGAATTTTGATACAATACCACTCCAAATCACCTCCAATCTTCCTCAAATTTTGTATATTGACTTATCTATATATTTTCAATGAATTTCAACTATACCCATTGAAAAAGTTCCTTTTTTGTTTAGATTTTTGGAATATTTGTATAGATTTTTGTATTTCATCACCTTATTTGCTACCCCGTCCATGAAATTTCTTTCCGTCTTGTATCTAATGTTGCTAATCACACTTAAAAATATGGAATGTGATTTTTGCATGTGATTCTTTGAGAGAAAGAACCCTATTATTTGGTTTTTCAATTTTTGTTGGCTAGTTATGATAAATTTATGACTAATGGCTAGAGGTTGGTAAGTTGACATTTATTTGGGACTTGTGTAAGTTTCCTAGAAAAATATCGTAGCGGAAACGAATATCGCGAAAGTACCTGACATCCCTCTAAGCACGCCTATAAATACCCATCGGCTCCTCCTCCTTGAACCAGCTAAAATTGAAACCTGAAAGCAAATTAAGAAAATTCTCAAAGGCTCACTGAAAATGTCATTGATTCCAAGAATGTTCGGAGATCGACGAAGCAGCGTCTTCGATCCATTCTCAATTGACGTGTGGGATCCTTTCAGGGAATTGGGTTCCAATTCACGGGAGACTTCTGCATTCGCTAACACACGAGTCGACTGGAAGGAAACTCCTGAGGCTCATGTGTTCAAGGCCGATCTCCCTGGGCTTAAGAAGGAGGAAGTGAAAGTGGAGATCGAAGACAATAGGGTTCTTCAAATCAGCGGAGAGAGGAACGTGGAGAAAGAAGATAAGAATGATACATGGCACCGTGTGGAACGCACCAGCGGCAAATTCATGAGAAGATTCAGGCTCCCGGAGAATGCGAAAATGGATCAAGTTAAGGCGGCGATGGAGAATGGAGTGCTTACTATTACTGTTCCGAAAGAAGAGGTGAAGAAGCCAGATGTCAAATCCATTGAGATCACTGGTTAGATAGACGCTTTAGCTAGCTGAAATATGTAAGTACGCTATGATATGTGCAAGTATATAGGAAATCGAATAGATGTCTTTTGCGAAGATTTGAAGTTGCTCTGTTTTTGTATCTTGTCTGTGGTCGAGTTTGTTAAAGGCGTGTTTGATGTAAATTCTTTGAAATTCTCTGTGGAAAAGGCAGTAGTGTTGTTATAGAATCAAAGTGTTCTATTATCCTACAATTCTGTTCGATTTCCCGTATTTTTCCTTCTTCTTCGTCTGCTTAACTACTTTTGGGTGAGGGTCAGAGGGTGTACCTAGTAAAGTCAACAACTTTAAGTTTTTCACTCGATTCTTGCACTTTAATTTCAGTGTCAAAGTAAAGATATGTTAACTTATTAACGAATCTACATTCAAAACCATTTCGATCCGTTTAGCAAATCATTATCCTTTTATTGGGAGAATTTGAGAAAAGAACTACGAACCATGGTGCAAAGTTAGATTGCTGAGCTTGTGACCCAGAGATCGATCAAGATTGAGATCGACCAAGATCGAGACCGAGCAAGATATCGAGCGAGATCGAGGAAAGCTTATTGAGTCAAATAACGAAAAGCCGAAATATCCGCAATCGGGAATCCCGGCACGTATCAAGAAGAGGCTGATTAATTAGCTAATCATGAGATTTCTTACCTCGTATAGACTTGTTTCAAGAGTAGGACTACCCTACTATATAAAGGGGGTTTGATCATTTATAACACACATCATATTCACGCAATACAAAGCAATATACTATCATTTTCTAGCTTTCATTATCTTGTTATTCTGTTCATATGCGAGTTGGAACATCTTTGGTTCAAGGGTGACTGAACTTGAGGGCTAAGACTATTCAATTTGTGTGGTTTGCATTTATTCATTTATCGTCAATTTCAATACTAATTTATTCATCTTAATTTGTACCAAGTTGTATCACGTGTCCTTTAAACCGCGTATAAATTTAATTGTTATCCGATTTTAGGGTAAATAGTTTGCGTCCACCGTGGGGCTAAGGATAATAGTAGTTACCTGGTACAAAATTTTGTAACACACACTATTTTACACTTGTTCTTTGAAGTATCTTTGATTACATGATTAAAAAATGTCAAACTCTCAATCAGTACCTCGACACATTGGCAATGATTTCGGCCACCACGGTGAAAATTATAACATAGCACCAGGGAACGATGTACCCCCGGTTGGCCTCGATGGAGTTCCGGCTGTAGATCCAATCGACGTCAGTTTACATGTAGCCATCAACGGAAATTTGGCTGTCCATCCCGAAGGCAGCGTCTGTGGGGATGCTCGATCAGCCGCTTAAAGCGTACGCGATGGTGAAGATGGCGGGATCAGCCTGCGATTGATCTTCGAAATGTTGCAGGCTCAGTAGGCAGCAATAGCCCAGCTCCAAAACCTTAATTATACACCGAGCAAGGTCGAGCCCGAGCCGTCCCGGGAAGTTGTACACAGGGTCGAATCGGTTTCAAGAAAATCGAGCGAGAAAGAGTCGGAGACCAACCCTGCGATCATGAAGATGCTCGAAGAACTAACAAAGCGAATTGAGTCGGGAGAAAAGAAGATCGAGGCAAACGACAAGAAGGTGGAAACTTATAACTCCAGGGTTGACCAAATCCAGGGGCACCACCAATACTGAAAGGACTGGATTCCAAAAAGTTCGTATAAAAACCTTGCCCCCCGAATGCGGCTCCGAAACCAATCCCCAAGAAGTTTCGGATGCCCGAGATTCCTAAGTATAATGAAACGACTGATCCAAACGAGCACGTCACCTCCTACATGTGTGCCATCAAAGGGAATGATCTAGAAGATGACAAGATCGAATCCGTCTTGCTGAAGAAATTCGGGGAGACCCTATCGAAGGGAGCTATGATATGGTACCATAATTTACCAACTAATTTTATTGACTCATTTGTTATGCTTGCAAATTCTTTTGTAAAGGCACATGCCAGGGCCATCAAGGTCGAAACCAGAAAGTCGGACCTTTTCAAGGTGAGGCAGAAGGAGAACGAAATGCTCAGAGAATTCGTGTCTCGATTCCAAATGGAACGGATGGACTTGTCACCGGTCACTGATGATTGGGTTGTTCAAGCTTTCACACAAGGGATCAACGTTCGAAGCTCAGTAGCTTCACAGCAATTGAAGCAGAATTTGATAGAATAGCCGGCTGTTACTTGGGCCGATGTGCATAATCGGTATTAGTCAAAGATCGGGGTTGAGGGCGATCAACTTGGGGCTCCTTCGGGGTCCATTTATCCTATCAGACCCGTCGATAGAATCAAGAGGGATATAGACCGAGAACCAAGGTCGAACAGAGATCGATATCAGCCGTATAATTGATATCATAGGGGCAACGGATCTGGGCAAAATTCTGCTTGGAATGAAAGGTGAAATGATCGAGGTCAAGGTTCACGGGGACTCATGAGTAATAACGGCTTCGATAGATCTATCGGTCCCAAAGAGGCACCACGATTATCAAAGTACAACTTTAATATGGACGCAGCTGCCATCGTATCGGCTATCGGACGCATCAAAGATACCAAGTGGCCTCGACCTTTGCAAACTGATCCAACACAAAGGGATCCCAACCAAATATGCAAATATCGTGGCACACATGGCCACAGGATGGAGGATTGCCGACAATTGAGGAAGGAAGAAGCCCGGTTGTTTAACAATAGTCACCTTCAAAAATTTCGGAGTACTAAGAATCACTTCAGAAACAGGGACTCCAACAAACAAAATGAACAAGAAGAACCCCAGCACGTCATCCATATGATCATCGGCGGGGTCGATATTCCTCAAGATCCGATGATAAAATGCACTAAAGTTTCAATCACAAGGGAAAAATGGACTCGAGATTACCTACCAGAAGGGACTCTATCTTTCAACGACGAGGATGCAGAAGGAATCATGAAACCCCATAATGATGCACTGGTAATTTCTATATTTATGAATAAAACTCAAGTTAAACGTGTGATAATTGATCTAGGTAGCTCGGCCAACATCATTCGATCAAGGGTCGTAGAACAACTTGGCCTACATGACCATTACCTGCGGCCTGAGTAATAAGCAAATTCAACATGGCTTGCGAAACTACTAAGGGAGAAATAACATTGCCGGTAAACATAGCCAGTACCACCTAGGAGACCAAGTTTTATGTAATCGAGGGGTACATGAGATACAATGCCCTGTTCGGAAGACCATGGATCCACAACATGGGGGTCGTGCTCTCGACCCTTCACCAGGTATAAAAATTTCCAACACTAGAGGGGATAAAGACGGTTTACGGGGAACAACCCGCCGCAAAGAAGATGTTTGCCGTCGATGAAGGAATTTCAATATCAACACTCTCGTTGACACAGGACTCAGGTTCGAAAGCGAAACAGGAAGTCAAATAGCAATCATCGACGCCAGCCTTGACCTAATCGGACAAGCAAGGGATTGACGAAGGTGATGACTACGGGGTTCCTCGATCCTTTATCGCCCCTGATAATTCCTATGCTACCAAATCAACGGTCGAAGAGCTGGAGCAGATCATGCTGATCGAACATCTTCCTGATCGAAAGGTATACCTGGGCACAGGGTTAACTCCTGAGCTCAGGAAAAAACTCGTTCAATTTCTTACAGGATAGGGATCCCACCGGAGATCACTACTCACAAACTGAGCTTGGACCCGAAGTTCGATCCGGTAAAGCAGAAAAGGAGACGAGATCAAGCATGCCTTCAATAAGGACGAGGTAACTAAACTCATTAAAATACGGTCTATCCGGGAGGTCAAATACCCGGAATGGTTAGCAAATGTAGTAGTAGTTCCTAAGAAAGGGAAAAAACTAAGAATGTGTGTAGATTATAAAGATTTAAATAAGGCATGTCCCAAAGATTCTTTCCCTTTGCCTAACATCGATCGCATGATCGATGGCACAGCCGGCCACGAGATTCTCAGTTTTCTCGATGCCTATTCCGGGTATAATGAAATACAGATGGATCCGGGTGACCAAGAAAAAACCAATTCATCACTAAGTATGGCACATAGTGCTATAAAGTAATGCCATTCGGATTAAAAAATTTCGGTGCCACTTACCAACGACTAGTGAACTGAATGTTCGAAGAACAAATAGGGAAAACCTTGGAAGTTTATATTGACGATATGTTAGTTAAGTCCCTGCGAGTAGAGGGCTAGTTAAAGTATTTGCATGAAACCTCCAGTATACTGAAGAAATACAATATGAAGCTGAATCCAGAAAAGTGTGCGTTCGGGGTCAGGTCCCATAAATTTCTCGGATTCATGGTATCCAACCGAGGGATCGAGATCAACCCTGGCAAGATCAAAACTTTCGAGGATATCACGGTAGTGGATAATGTGAAGGTAGTACAAAGGTTAACCGGGCGCATTGCAGCCTTGGGGCGATTCATCTCGAGGTCGTCCGATAAAAGCCATCGATTTTTCTCGTTGCTAAAAAAGAAAAACAACTTCACATGGAGCCCAGAATGACAACGGGCCTTAGAAGAACTTAAGTGATACTTATCGAGCCCGCCATTGCTTCACACGCCAATGGCAGACGAACGACTATACTTGTATCTAGCAGTATCGAAAATAGCAGTAAGTAGAGTCTTAGTTCGGGAAGAGCAAGGTACGTAATTTCCGATTTATTATGTTAGTAGGACCTTAGGTGAGGCCGAAACTAGATATCCTCACCTAGAAAAATTGGCACTCGCCTTGCTAAGTGCCTCTAGAAAACTGAAACCATATTTCCAGTGCCATCCTATATGTGTTGTGACAACCTACCCATTACGAAATATAATGCATAATCCCGAACTCTCGGGGCGATTGGCCAAATGGGCCGTGGAAATCAGCGAGTACGATATCGAATATCAACCCCGAACAACCATTATATCCCAAATTTTGGCAGATTTCGTAGCCGACTTTACGCCGACCCTGATACCCAAAGTCGAAAGAGAGTTGTTGGTAAACTCGGAAACGTCTTCGCAAATCTGGACCCTCTTTACGGACGGTGCCTCGGAACGTAAAGAGGTATGGACTTGGCATCGTTCTGAGGCCACCCACAGGCAATATAGTTAGACAATCTATTAGAACTGTAAAATTGACCTAACAACGAGGCCGAATATGAGGCCATGATTACAGGTCTCGAACTGGCCAAAGGCTTGGGGGAGGAGGTGATCGAAGCTAAGT